CTGGATCCAGGAAAATTGCACAAGACCTGGAGTTTGTGCAGGACCTAAGGGAAAATCGCAGGAATTTCAAACCTAGTGATCGATCCATCATTGACCAAAAGTCGAAGGTGACCACTGTTTACATACAAAAAATGAATCTCAATTAAATAGTCCAAGAATTAGAGCCCAGTTAGGGAGTTCAAGATATAGGCCAAAATGAGACCGTTGTAGAATATAGCGGAGACCCATAAACAAAGTAATATCATCGCCCAAGCCTGCGGGTCGTCCAGGATCTGAGCGAATGAAGCGCCTTACTGTCGCCCAGAGCGATGATCCCATTCTCGCCCAAGCCTTTGAGTCGCTCAAGATTTGAGCGAATACAATGTCTTGTGATTACTTAAGACGATGGTTATTAAAGCGGTTATTGAGCAACCTTATCACACCTCACGATACAAGAATCTCGGTTATAAGCGGTTAAACAACAAGAGTAATAACATCAATTGCAAACGGAAGTTCCTTGACAGGTTAGTCATCACGAAGAAAGTGGGTAGTTATAGAGCACTAAGCAATTTCCAAGCAGTTCTACAGAGAAAACCATCAAAAGAGTATAAAAAGGAAAAGAAGACAGAGAAGGAAAGACCCTGAATCAATCACTCTCAACAGAGAATATGTAATTTCAATTCATTTATTTTCTAAGTGCAAACTTTCAATTCACTTCGTGTGCTTGTGCCCCTTGGAAGTGTTTTGCTTCTTCCCAATTGTAATCTTCATAAATAAAGCACCCATTTTTGGAACTTTATCTCCAAATGTTTGTTCCTAACGCAATCGTCTGAAACTATCTTTTAATTGTTAGCGATAACTCGCGCGAAACAACGACCAACCAGATTACAAAAATAGCACATAGAGGACCTTTTTGTTTGATCCTGAAGGAGATTCGAAAGAATGACTAGTGATTTCCCACAAGTAGACAAGGGTTTCGGAGTGGTGCCGAAGACTTCCTGGCAGGAGGCGCTTGCTCTATAATTTGGGCAAACAGATGCAG